GATTCAAGCCCAGGCAAGCTGGCAGAAGCCCATTCCATTAGTCAGTACTTCAGCCAATAAAATTCTTTCATACATTATAAACAGTTAACTAACAAAATGAGTAATTATTGAAAAAATAATCATAAACATAAGGTACATTATATAGTGAAGAGTAGAGAACACACATCTAATAGTTGTTGTTAGTTTGACTAATATAAATCACTAATGAATACCTTTCTTCATTTTACTCATAGAACGTTTGCCCCAGCTGATCCTCAGCCCCACTGCAAACCACCTTTGCTGGACAGTAAAAGCTCATACATCCTATTCTACTGTTGTTTCTCTTACAGGCTCTCAAGACATCAGTGGCGAGGGAGGGGCTCAGCTCATGTCGAATTTCTAATTCCTCTTATATTAGTTCCTATAACTGCCATAAGAAAATACCACCAACTAGGTGGCTTAAACAACAGAAATTAAAGTCTCACAGATCTGGAGGCCAGAAGTTCAGGACCAAGGTGTTGGCAGGTTTGATTTCTCCTGAAGCCCCTCTCATTGGCTTGCAGATGGTCATCTTCTTTATTGTTCTTCGATGGCCTTTCCTTCTCTGCGTTCACATCCCTGGTCTGCCTCCCTCTTCGTAGGACATACCAGTCAGGTTGGATTAGGACTCTCTCATATGACCGCTTTTGAACTTAAATTGCTTCCTTAAAGGCCCCATCTCCAAATACAGTCACATTCTGAAGTATTGGGGGGGTTAAGCTTTCAGCATACAAATTTTAGGGAGTATACCTCTCCTAAAAGACAGACCTTGATAATCTTAGCAAATGCCAACACAACCTATTCCTCTGTCTTTTGTTTGCTGGTAAAACAATAAAAATGAGGTAGGGCTCTCTTCCCCACTTTCGTAGTCAATAAGTTTAACTGTGTGAGGCAAATTTTCCCGCATGGAATTATTTAACAGCCAAATCATTAATGATGCAATAAACATTGAAATAAGCTCTCATAAGCTTTACTTTGTAACAACCTATTTCATTTAAACCTGTTCTTCTCAAAATCACATTTTTGTGCAGAAAAGATTTAAAGAAGTTATATTCCTCACCATCTTAGACCAAAATGTGTATCTATCATAATGTCAGATATAAACAGTCTCTTTAGCTTTTGTGGGATTTTCATATCCAGATGGAGAAATACTGACTAAATTGAAGTAGGTCAGTTAAAGGTAGGGCGGGGCGGGGTGGGGAGGCTCTTAAGATTTTTTCCTGGAAGCCCAAATCTCTCTCCAAAGATAAAACTCTTTTAATTTCTGACCATTCTATCAGCTCATCAGAACACCAGAGGTTTAAAAATCATATCTGAATGAATAATTTACACATATTTTAGATGTGATAAACAGTAGAGTGGGAAAGACATAGGCTTTGGAATCAGATAAACCTGGGTTCAAAACCTGGTTCTGCCGTTAACTAGCTGTGTGGTGTCAGGTAATTTACTTCCCCTCTCTGAGCCTCTCTCCTCGTTTGTAATGGGAAGATAACATGTATCTTGCAGAGACATTGTGAAGATCGAGTGAGGTATTTCTAAAAAAGGACCCAGCACAGAGCGTTGCATATAGCAGTTACTAAATGACACCTATGGCTATTAAACACAACTTCACAGAAACCCCAGTCACATGTCGTTATTTCAGAAAACAAGAGGCAGCAACTTTATACGGGTCACTGGAATCTTCTTTAGAATATTTACTAGTCCATTAAATCCAGAAGGCTGGGACCTAATTGTGATTCTCGGAATGACCCAGAATAAAGTTCCTTTATGCCAGCCAGATCTGATTACTTCAGTTTCTGGGCGTCTGGGTGGAAACTTGGCTCCTGGAAGCTGCAAGGCTGCTCGGGCTTCATGGTAGGCCATCTGTGGATGGCTCCGGAAGGTCGTTATTCCGTTAAGGGGATATTTTGTCAAGATATTTTGCGGAGATTCTAGGACCTGAGGTGTCGTGTAAAGAGCCTGGTTGTACCAGAAGCTGGCCATGCCCTTTTGTTGTTCACAGTGACAGAAGTGTGACGACACAGATAAGCTCCCTCAACAAAATAGAGCTGCTCTCTGATGAACAGGCAAGTGGGTCAAAGCATTTCCGTTCACATTCCCTTCTTCCTGAAGATAATCCACCACTTCTACAGAGCCCACAGTTTTGCCTTTTATGCAGTGACTCCACTCCACCCCCACTATTCACATCCTGAATTCAGTCTTTCACTCATCCCCTAAGGACTGGCTATTGGAAGCTATTGTATAGTGGCCCTGCCTGACAGCCATTGCTGTTGGGGGAAAGGGCCAGGCTTCCATGAAATACCTGAGTGTTTGACGAGAGGGTGTTTGTGGTGACCTCTCTTAAGGAGGAGTAGCTGTCCAGGAGTCTCCCATGGGCACATGCTGAGGGGCTCGCCCAAGGCTCTATTTAGCTCACACTGCCACTGTAGGGTAAACAAAGACCTTGGTCTTCTTCCCTTTTGCTCCAGTACTTAGGGCTGCTTTAGGGCAGTGGTCCCCAACCTTTTTGGCACCACAGACCAGTTTTGTGGAAGACAATTTTTCTGGGGTGAGAGGAATGGAGCTAAGATGGTATCATGAGCAATAGGGAGCAGGGTAAAGCTTTGCTGGAAAGCCCGCCGCTGACATCCTGCTGTGCGGCTGATTCCTAACAGGTACCGAGGCCCCGGGGTTGGGAACACCTGCTTTCGGGAGTAGTTTATAGAAGGGAGGCTGTCCAGGTAGAAGGAAGGGGAACATAAGTGGGCACCTATAAGGTATGTTGGCTCAATTTGTTCAATTTCTGGAGCAACCAGGGATAGATGCAGTGCAAATGCTAACAATAGTTTCCCATAATATCAACATGAGATGCTCATCTGCCCACCTGATTACCTAGGCCAGAGCAAAACTGTATCATAAGCGTTACTGGGGACTTACAAATACTACCTTTTAGCTCCGTGGAAACAAAATTGACCTCTCAGTCTATAAACCTTTTTCAACTTTCACATATTGGACTGTCAAACATTGCCCAGAATCCATTAAGTAGTATAGTATGGAACTGCCTCTATTGTTTTGGTGTTATTTTACTTTTATCTGTGCAATATTGCTGTCATCACTTCATAGGCTCCGATTAAATTTAGCATGTTGGTAGCTGATTTCCCACTATCTGTCCATTTACTTTCATGCTCTGTATAGAACATTAATTTGCACATGCTCTTTCTTCTGGTTGACTGGCCTTCCTCCTGCCTTCTACACTTAATGTCTACTCACCTCAGAATCAGTTCAAGGGCAAGAAACTCAAACAGATATTTCATAAATGAGGACGTTCAAATGACCAATAAACATATGGAAAGATAGTCTACCTTATAGTAATCAGGAAAATGCAACTAGAAATCACAACAGGATACCACTGCATATCCAGTGAAATAGCTAAAATTAAAGACTGAAAATTTCAAGTTTGGGTGAGGATACACTGCTGGTGTGAATAAAACTGGTACAACCATTTTGGAAAACTATTTGTAATTTGTTGAATATAAGAAAAACCTATGATCCAGCAATTTCCCTTGTAGGTATATACCTGACAGAAATTGATTCACATATGCATTAACAAACAAGCGCAGGATATTTATGAGGAGCATAATTTGCAATAACCCAACACTAGATATAACCCAAATAACCATCAGTAATAAAATGGAATTAACTGTGGCATATTCACTGAAGGAAATATTATACAGCAGTGAAAATGAAAGAATTACTGCAATAGGCAGCAACATGGACTAATCTCACACACAAAATAAAACACCATTGAAGAAAGAAATATGCTGTACAATTTAATTTATTTGATGTTCAATAACAGGGAAAACTAACTCAAGGTGTTAGAAGTCACAGCTGTGGTTACCCTTGGAGAAGAAAGAAGGGTTATTGATGGGGAATATGAAGGGGGTTTTTAGGCACTGATAATACAGGGCAGGGCAAAAGTAGGTTTACAATTATTCATATGGAAACTAAATAATGTAACAATAAACTTTCACATACTCACAACTGTAAACCTTCTTTTGCCCCACGGTGTATTCTGGATCTGGTTACATGGGTGGGTCGACCATGTAAATTCATCAAGCTATACACATTTAGGACTTGCATACTTTTCTGTATGTATTTGTATTTGTATTTTTTATTTTTTTAATTTATAAATCATGTTTATTCTATTACAGTTGTCTCAATTTTTACCGCTTTACCCCCTCCACCCATCCTACCCCCACCCTCTGCTCCCACAGTCAATTCCCACTCTGTTGTCCGTGTCCATGGGTCATTCACACATGTTCTTTGTCTAGTCCCTTCCCCTTCTTTCCACCATTGCCCTCCTTTCCCATCCTCTCTGGTCACTTTTTCAGTCTGCTCCATGTTTCCCTGCCTGTGGTTTATTTTGTTCATTAGTTTATTTTGTTGAATAGAGTCCACTTACAGGTGAGATCATATGGTATTTGTCTTTCATCAACTGGCTGATTTCACACATCTCACAACACCGCCTTTCAAAATGCCGAGAATTACAAGCAAGGAGGTAAAGACTTTTCTACGTCAGGTCCCATCGTGTTTGTTTTATACTCATCCAGTAGTTTAGCAGGTCAGTAGCGGCAGCCAGGAGCTTTGAACACTTAGAAGCATCTCTCAAAGCAAAACCCAGGGGCGCTTGACAGCTACGCCATCTACCTGTTGAACCTGGGCCACTGCCCTCGACAACTGTCAGATCCGTTTCGACCTAGAAATGCTAACGATCATTTTTTTTTTTAAAAGAAGTTGTTTGCTAATCTTTCTTCCCACTGTCTACTTCTTTCGGGGAGTTGCCGTAGGGCCGGGGGAGCCGCAAGACCCGCGATCTCCTCCGCCCAGCTGGTTGCAGCAGCGGCGCGGGTGGCCCGGCCCGGCGGCCGCTCCGGGGCAGCCGACCGAGGTCATCGCAGGCCGGGCGGAGAAGCAAGCAGCCTTCCAGGCCCAGATTTACTCACCTGCCGTTCGGAGAGGCGATCGGGAACGTGCTGTTCGCCGGGACCGGGAAGCAGATCCGAGAAGGGGAGAGTTGTGGCGCTGGGGCGAAGGGGCGCAGGGAGGAAATCGTGTTACCAAAGCCGGGGATGCGGAGCCCAGAAGGAGGCTGCAGCCTTTCCCTCTAGAAACGGAAGAGGCGGGGGAGGAGGAGGAGGGAAATGCGGAGAAAGAGGAGGTGACCTGGCGCGGGAGGCTAGCCGAGGGGCGCCGGGCGTCTGGCCGCAGGCGAGGGGCAGGCAGCGCAGCCCAGGTCCTCGGAGGGGAAGGCGAAGCCGAGTGGCGCGCTGGCTCCCTGGCCCTGCCTCGCCGACTTCTGCATCCGCCAGGCCACCTCCCCCGGGGCCGCTGCGTGGAACCGCGTGGTGACGCCTCGAGGCTCCCGGGGCGGGCGAGGGCATCGCACTCCAGCAGGAGCCAGGCGTCTGCGACGTCACAAACGGAGCGGGATGATTCAGAGGGGAGTGCCGGGAAGAAAAGGGCTCCAAAGTCACCTAATCAGCTGTTTTTGTGCCTGAGCTGCCCATAAATTAAATTTTAAAATCCTCCTCCATTCTTCTTTACTGTTTTGCGGGGCGGGGGGCGGTTACGGGTTTAATGGGGACCGGGCCGCAGTGAAGACGGACTTCCTGCCCGAGGCCATCAAGTCCCATTGTTCTAACAGCAATGTCAAGTGTGCTCGTTGTTCTTCAAACCAGGGCAGTGTCCTCTGGGTGCTTGCCTTTTAAGGTGTGGGCCTAGTGCCACCTTGACAGTAGGTAGGTTGTGGGGAGGAACTCCTCCTGAACCCTTTAAACAGTGGTACTCAGTGTACCTTCAAGGTGGTTGTAAATGGTGGGTGAGGCTAGGAATGAGTGATGGGGGGCGTCGGAGCAGCAGAAATTTTTAAAAGGCCACGAAGTTTTCGGTAAAGGAGGCTTGGCAGCCAGCCCAGCAGACTGAATGTTGACTATGAGTGCACAGGCCTCGTAAAGCAGTGATTCATAACACCCACTCCATGGCACACCCAGGAAATGGTAAGGTCTGAAAGGTGCAAACTAGGGTAAACAGAAGAGGCCGCTGTGCGCAGGAGCGATTGGGCCCTCCCACCTGGAGGGCTGAGGAGACCAGTATCGCCCGGCTGTAACTCATTCCATGGCATGAGGTTGGAAAGCTTTGTTTAAAGTTCTAGCTGGCAGGTTTTCTTTACCGACATTTTCCCAACCCCCCCAACACTGCCTCCTGCATTGTCAACACTTGGTTCTCAGAACAGTGAGGAACCACCAAGACAGAAGCCTAGGGCATTACTGGATGTGTCACACTACAGGAAATGGTGCTTAAAACTTGACATTTCCCAAGCTGAACTCAGCTTTCTGCTTCCAGCCTGCTTGTGTGGTCTCTAGCCTGGGACAACGCCTCCTCTTCTACCCCTCCCCCATCTCATCCCCAAGCTTTCCCTCACTAGCAAGTGGATTCTGTCATCTCTCTCAGAGTCATTGTTTATTAATTAGTCTAATAATTGTATCTATGATGACAAAATAGGAAAAGTTTGAAGGTTAAACAAGAAATAGTCTCAACATGATATCTAGAAATAAAGAGTCAAATACCTGAATAGTTAGAAAGTAAAAGAGTTTCCCTCAAAGCTTTAGCAGGAATTTGGGTGTTGGGGGGGGGGTGGAGCAGTCGGCTGCTATTTTTGTGACACAACAGTATGATTAACATTCTGAATCTAGTCCATTTTCCACTTCACTACCACAGAGATCATCCTACATCACAAGTTTCAGTGGGTTTGCTCCTTGCATAAAAGCCTTCGCTGGCTCCAGTCTCTGGTAATATCTAGAGCAAGCTCCTGGGCCTGGCCTTCAAGGCCATCTCCCCCCACATCTGTCAGCCTTGCTCCTCACACTGGGCACCCCATTTTACCGCACCACATCTGGTTTCCTAAATGCTCAAACTTGTTTCATCACTTTCTACCTTTATACAGGCTACTTCTTTCACCTGGAGTATTTCCTACTGCTATAGTAATAGCCAATGGCACTATCCTAAGTGCTTTTTGTGTTTTATAGATGTATATTCTTCCATCAACCCTATGGTAGGTATTACTATTATCTCCATTTAATAAATAAAACTGTGACTTAGAGAGGTTAAGTAATTTACTCAGACATGCCGTATGTAGTGAAGCCAGTTTAAACCCAGGAATACACTTCTAGGACTCACATTATATTACCTATTCACACTGTAAACACCTTTCTCAGACACCAAATTTGAGCAGGATTAAAAGATTTAAATTTTAAAAAGACTTAGTAGTGCAATGAGAAAATATAAATGAATTGCCCGTAATTTCACAGTGAGCAGGAACTAGCCCTGGCCACATGGCTCCATTGGATGAGCGCCCTCTCACACACGAGCGGGTTTTGTGTTGGATCCCCAGTCGGGGCGTAGGGATCGAGGTGCAGAAGGGGAGGCAAACTGATCGATTTTCTTTCTCACATCAATGCCTCTCTCTCCCTCTTTCTCTCTAAAAATCAAGAAACATACTCTTAAGTAGGATTAAAAAAAAAGTAAGCATGAAATAAAGGGAAAAATTACAAAAGAAACGTGGCAGCCTTGACTATAGAATTTTTAACTTCTTATCAAAAAGACCCATTATATAAAATTAAAAGATAAGTAAAAATTATCAAAAAATTTGCAATGTATACGAAAGATAAGAGAGTGTCATCCTTATTTAATAAGGGAGTCTTACCCTGTTTTTAAAAAAATTGGCAAAAATGTAAATTAAAGTCAAGAAAGAAAATGGTCAAATGTATTTTTAAGGGAAATGAAAACTTAACACGATAATGCACCATCGACTTGACTGAGAACAAAAGAGTACTCAGAGTTAACTAACGTTTAGGGCCAGTGATCCTTGAGTCAGGAGGCATGGCAAATGATTAAGCTGGTGCTTATGAGAAGAACATAATTTGCTTCAATGTTTCTGGAGGGCAATTTGGCAGAGTGCAGTAAAAGCCTCAAAAAATGTTCACATCCTTTGACTCAAAAATAGCATTTCTTGGAATTCATAATACAGGGAGGGACTGACGATGTTTTCTATAAAAGCCCAGGTGGCAGGCCACATATGTCTCTGTTGCTTTTCTCCTTTGTGTGTGTCCTTTTTTGTTTTCATCTTTAAAAAATATGAAAGCTGTTAGTTCGAGGGCTGTAGAAAAGTTCAGACTGTGGTCTGAAATTGGCCTGAGAGCAGTAATGTGTGAAAGAGTAGACTACGAGAAAGCTCATCACACAGTGCTTTCGGTAATTGCCAAATGAGAGAGCAAACTAAGTGTCTGAAGATAGAAATTAGTTACCAGAGAGGAGGAAACAAGTTTTTTTTAAGGTTTTAAATGTTTTTAAAAGTTACAGAATGATATTTATTGCATGAGAATATATTTGTGATTTGAGTAGAAAAATACAGTTTACAAAAGAATGTGTTATTACTCCAAATGCAATATAATCATAGATGTATGTATGCATAGAACAAGATCTAAAAGACATAAACACATTCAGATGTTGATAGTGGTCTTGAGGTGCGGTGTGAGATCATAGATTTTGGTTTTTTATTGTGCACATGTTTCCTAGAGTAAATATGCATTGTTTTGTATTAAACAAAAATACAAGAAACTTTGCTTGGGTGACAACAAAGCACCTTAATTTTCAATATGAAAAAAATCTTCCCTGAATCTTTGCCACCCCCCCCCTGCCCCGGCCATATGGAGTTGGTCACTCTCTCTTATGTGCTCCCTAAACATATAATGGTCTTTTGAGTACCATTAATTGCTTAATTGGAGGATGGTTAATACCATTATTTAGTTAAGCATTCCTCTATTATTGGGTATCTGGGTTCCCAGTATTCCACTATTATAAACATGCTGGCTATTTTCAACTTGCTCTCTGCCAGAACCATTTTCCATACTTCTCTGCTAGACGGAGCCTGAGAAGGCAGAACTTCATACGTTATTTTCTCTGGGCTCTCTTGCCAGCTGGCTTCCACGTAGCATTGGCCAATGGGTAACATCACCAATAGGTTAGAGGGTGAAAACGGAGAAAATTTAGGGTACTTCTCCCTACCTTGTCTCCTGCTTTTGTCCTCTAAGTCTCTTGCAAGGCAGCTCCCCCTTCACCGCTCTGCTCATTTGACTTCCTTGCCTTCTCGCTTCAGCCCTACTGGTGGTAACAGCTTCTTGCTTTTGTAAGAGCCCGAATACCCCCACGTCTCTTGTCATGGCCGTGTAATGCAGGGTTATTTCCCTTCACCCAACCCGAACTCTAAATCTAACTGAAATTTCTGTTAATAGCTCCTTCAATAAAATCTCTTCTATTGAAACATCTGAGTGGAAGTTGGTTCCTGTTAGGACACACTGATTTTTAAAGAACACCGGTGAACATCATAGAACACAATTCTTTTATTTATTATGCAACAGGTCCTGGATCGTCTCAGATTTTACATCTGAGATCTGAGGTTATGACTATTTGCAAGGTAATAATAGAATGATTTGCAAGTTTCCTGAAGCTGGAATTTGAGTAACTGTTGAGGTCAGTGTTTGGGATTGTAACACGCTATTGTTCTTCACTTCTCCAGTACTTTTTGAGAAGTAGTGCTCCATTGCACTTTATTGAAGATATCATATACTGCATGACAGTGGTGTTCAAATTTTGATGTTTTCACTGGAATCTTTAAGAAAATATTCTTATATCGAGAGAGCATGTAAATGAGATAAAAGTCACATGCAGGATTAGGGGAACCTCCTTCCTCATCTTTGAGGCAGACTTTGAGACATGCCTGCAGACTCCAGGACTCTGTGGAACACAATGTGAAAACACAGATTTACAAAGTCCAAGAATCTAGAAGATGTATCCTCCGTAAATATCAAATATCTATTGTATCTCTTTAGGTTATATTCTAGAATTACATAGTCAGCAATGTAACTTTCAATGGTCCTTCAAAACTCTACACTCTGAATGATGTTGCCTATCTCATTACTGCACCTATTATCAAACACACAGACACACACACACACACACACACACACACACACAAAACCCTCCTAATTTCTTATCATAGTTTTAATTGTATTTTATTAGTGAGAGAATATTTTACATTTCTGTTTGATATTTGTATTTCCTTTCTTCCCCTCCTCCCCCCACTTTTAGTGGCCTTTCACGTTTACTCTATTTATTCAATATGTATTAATTTCTTGTATTGTACCTGAGCATTATACTGATGGATATAAATGTTAAACAATGCAGTTATGCCTTTGCCCTCCCAGGGCCCTCAGACTAGCAATACCATAGTC